TGAATGGCCTTTATTTTGCAATTAAAGGACCGTTCAACAAGAGTACGAAATTTATCAAAGATGACATAAAGATCAGACTTTAATTTCATAGGAAAGAACCATGTATAACGGGAATAGTCATCCACAAAGATCACAAAATAACGGAAGCCAGAAGTAGATAAAGTGGGCGCAGGACCCCAAATGTCTGTGTAAATAAGATCTAGGACTTGAGAACTAGAGGAAGCAACACGGGGGAGGGGAAAACGGGCAGATTTGCCTAATTGACACGCATTGCATAAAGAATTATGACAACGAATATTATCACGAGACCCACTAACCAAACAAGAACGAAGTATATGGCTAAGAACACGGTTATGAGGATGACCTAGACGATTGTGCCAAGTGGAAGCCGAGGCACGAGCGGAAATAAACGCTGACGGAGACGAACTAGGTAATGAAAGTGTGTATAGTCCCCCCGAACTATTGCCCCGAAGAAGTATTTCCTTGGTATTGATATCTTTTACAACAAAAAATGAGGGGTGAAACTCAAAAAAGACTTTATTATCGGATGCAAACTTCTGAACAGATAATAAAGAATTAGACAAACGCGGAACGTGAAGTATATCAGACAATGTAAATGATCTAGAAGGGGTATTAAAAGAGGCATGGCCAACATGACTAATAGATAAACCCATACCGTCACCGACACGTAAAGTGTCATTACCAGTGTACTTCTCCGATGTAAAAAGAGCAGCGACGTTCGGAGTTGCATGATTTGTGGCTCCAGTGTCCGGAACCCAAGTATGAGAATTTGACGAGGTTTTAGCAACTAAACCATTCTGAAACACCAAATTAGCCTGAGAACCCGGAGCCCCTGAATATCGCCGAAAACAGTTGACTCCCGTGTGACCGAAACTTTTGCAGATTTGACACGGATCATTATAGCGCCAAAAACAATTGGCTCCCGTGTGACCAAAACGTTTACAAATTTGACACGGATCATCATAGCGCCAAAAACAATTGGCTCCCGTGTGACCAAAACGTTTACAAATTTGACACGGATCATCGAAGCCACGTTGCTGACCTCCACGGTAATTAAGGTTGCCATCGCAGCGCTGCATCTTCTTAATTTTATGAATCACAAAACCCTAGCTAACTGATACCAGATGAGAACTGATTGTATTATATTTTCTGAACTTGATTACAATGAGATCAGATGATGTGAATATATAGAATAGAGAGTCACAGTGTGACAATGATAAGAAGTAGAGAGTCACAGTGTGACAAGGATAAGAAGTTCTAAACAGACTCATATACATAGAGTCCTAATAATCCTAAAAAGATTTTTTTTTTTTTTTTTGGAAAATTCGTAAAAAGAATTTGATTGTAAAATTTCACTAAGTTGAAGCATTTAATTTAAACTTTATAAAATTTGAGTGCTTAGTTGTCTTTTCAATCATACTTAGAGTGTGCCTATTTATTCATTTCCTAATGTCAATTAAAAAGAATATCAAACTTAAAAATAATGTTGGTATTCTTACAAATTAAAATAATAAATATTTAAAGAATTAAAGCTTTAATTATATAAGTTGGAAGTGTGAAACATAAATCTAATCAAATAACAAACAGAAAGAGTTAAACATATATAATATGATACATCACTTCAAAAATAATTCCATTAATATTATATTATTCAGTCGACTATGTTGGTCTTATACAGATGCCCATGCAGTCACAGACCACGTACATGTTGTTAAAACTTAAAAAGCTTATTAATTCATTGATTTTCAACAACAAAAATTGGAAAATAAGAAAAAAGAATGAAGAAATGAATGAATGAGGCGTTAGTATTGGAACGTCAAATGTGAGATTATTCTTCTACTAACATTAACTTGCAGCCTTGTGGTGTTTTGAAGAAGGAGATGATGGGTGAAAATTCGTCATTTTTCCAGCCGCGAAGTTCTGCTCACTCACCGTGCTTGCCCCGTTGTGGCCGGGGTTAGTTGAGGGAGAGGTTACCGGCCGCCATTGCAAAGAAGGAAGCAAAAGATGAGTTGATGACTCCTCTCTGGGAGCTGCAAAGTTTTTTGCTCCGGCAAGAGCCGCGTTGGTGCCGGGGTTGGATTTGGGAGGGCTCACCGGTCTCCACAAAGATGGTAACAAAACACGTTTCTCGGTGGCCGCTGCTGCTAATTTGTTGTCACCTAGATCAGCCGCGTTGGACTTGGGAGGGGTTACCGGTTTCCATTGCAGAGATGGTAGAAAAAGATGATTTTTTGTCACCCACTTTTCTTCATTGTTGTCAGCAGGAACTGATCTGCATGCTTCATAAGGTTTGATGCATAGTAGAATAATAAGTACGGAAATAAAAGCTAAAACAAGACTAGACTGATAATGTCTCATTGGATGTGTGTTTAATTCCTAATTGTCTATTAGTTATGGAACAATAACAGATAGATGAGAGGTAGGTGATATGAATTGAACTCTGATGAACTGATGAAAGAATTTGATGATGGGAAATAAAACACAAAGAGACATATTTATAAGCTTGAAAGTATGTTATGTACGTGGGATGAGATGATGACTTTGATGGATGAGTAGAAATGGTTGACCGTAAATTGTACTTTGAACTTGAATGGGTCAGGTCGGTCAGATACTCGTTAAGGAACAAACTCTGATGTAAAATTGAAGTCGATATGTATATTTTCAAACAAGTCTATATTTGGAAAAAGAGTATTTTTCAATAAATAAAAAGTCAGGAATTATTTTTGTCCATTTTTTTTTTTGAAAATAAAAGGCTAATTCATTAATCATAAACATAAATGTTTACAATACAGATCATTAGAATTACAGTGCATTCTTTACCGTCAGACATAGAAACAAATTTCCTAGAAATGTTATAGAAAACTTCGATCGCGGACTGTTTTATAAATTTGAAGCCGAAATTGTTGAATGAACTCGGTGCTTCTTCATAGATCTGGTCAAACATAGCCAAGCCTGACTTTGATGTGACCATTTTATCATTCCACACTTATGATAAGAACTCGCCAAAGAAACAAGAGGAAAACTCGTCAAAGAAACGAGAGGGAAACACTCGCCAGAGAGACGAGAGAAAACAAACTAGTCAAAGAAACAAAGGGATAACATAGAACCAAACGATAACAAAATAAATGGAAAAGATGATAGAAAACCTGTCAGATTTGGAGAGTCTCTGACGCCTTCTTTGAAAAAATGATCGGAGATAATCTGAGATCTAACGCTTATTCCTAAAGCAGCCAGAGGATGGAGTCTACTAATGGCACTGCCGGCTCAACCCTCCATTAGAGCGTCAGCCGGAGGATGGAGTTGCAGGGCATTTACAGATGAAAAAGGGAGAGAAAGCAGTTGTTTGGAGAGAAAGCAGTTTTTGAAGATAACTTTTTGTTCATTTTCTATCACTTTAAAAAATATATTTTTAAAAGAAATTGAACGTTTTTGGAAGCGACTAGGGCATCGGTAAACTTGCTCAAAGGTTAATTTTTGGGTGGATGATAGTTATCTTGATGTATATTTTATTGTGGATTATTCCGAATATTTATAATAGATTTTGATGATGTAGAAAGATATTTGTAAACACTTTAGACCTCTCATAATTCAGTGTAATTTTAGATATTTTTCGCAATTCAAATGACTAGAATGAAGCAATTTCGAAAGGAAGTATCAGGAAGAAAGGGCTTCAAAAGGAGGTAACCCGAAGAAGTCACGTCGGAAAAAGGAGTTCTAGTGTGATCTTCATGGTAGATAAAAGGGCATTTAATGCTATCTTCTAAGTTCATAGGAACTTTATTTATGAATTTTTAAGGAAGATCATCCTTCAAAGGAGTTCATTTGAGGAAGAACAAAAAGAGCCGTTGTTGGACATATGCAACTTATCTGACACATAGAAATCTACACATAAGACATAAATGATGATAAACAAGAGCATCTCTTTTTTACATTTGGAACACTTATAAATAGATAGGGAACTGTCATTACCCTTTGGATAACCTGCTCTAAAAGTTAAGGATATAGTAGCGTATTTTAAGGGATATAATTGTGGCAACTTTTGTATGACTACCACTTGCTGAGTGACAACGGACATATTCAAGTTTCATGTTGGCTCTCACCCCTCCTCATATATAAAAGGAGGATCTCAATCTAAGAGAAAAGAAGTTGGAAATGTTGTGGTGGTGAAAAAAAGTTTCAAGTGACCAAAAAGCATTAGGTGTTGAAGCGCTCAAGCTACATTCAGACCTCTACGTTGAAAAGAAATCAATTTGATTTCTAAAGCCCAACACCTAACAAACAACAACAATTTTCACCGGAAGTTGTGAAATCAACCTAGCAAGGCGACTCGGCGAATGACCATTAGCTAGCTCTGATAAGGTAGCAACAAATAGGGCAACTTGATAACTGACTCATATCTTAAGGATTGTCAAGGGGTAGTTCTTTAAATAATGCACCAAAAAATCACGACACATTTCTCGAAATGTCAAGCAAATTTTTTGAAATCATTATGAAGCACAATCTTTTGAAATCTAATAATTAGGTACTAAAGAGTGATAATTATAGGTTGACTGAGGAGCTAAAATATCTCAACAATCTCACCTTAGAATTAAACTGTAACACCCCTTTTTTCTTAAACTTACTTAACAAACTAAACCTTTAAAGATAAACTAAGCAGCGGAAATAAACTTAATTAATAACTTAAAGGAGTGTCACTGCCACAATCACCCTTCACGATGATTGCATAGACTAAAGGTAAAACTAAAACATTAAAGTCATAACATCCACGAAATACTAGGAGAATAAAACCCCGGCGTCCAGCACCATCAAAAGGGCAAACTACTACAACCATAAAAATCGGAAGAGTTTAGACTACAAGCTATCTAGCTACACTAGTCTAACTCGTGCTCTCAACTTTACGAACTGGGCCCACCTGAAAAGGGTTAACAAATAAGTAACAAGCAAACCCGTTAGCACGAAGCTAAGTATAACGCCACTTAACCTGTAAAGTAAGTACAGTATATACTTTGGAAAACAAGGTTCCACATTCTTTGCTCAAGCAAGTTTAAACACTCAACATACTTTGGCGTAACTTCTAGATGCTTGCAACCTAATACTCAATTAGGCATACTTAATCATAAACACTCATCACATTCTCATCTTATGAACAATCTAAAGCTTCTCAAACATTTTCTTGGTCGACCTTGCGTTCCTTTTCAGCTACGAACAATCTAATGCTTCTCAAACATTTTCTTGGTCGACCTTGCGTTCCTTTTCAGCTAGCGTAAATAAACTGCACTCCTGTAACATTAACACAAGAATAATGTAAAGATGCGAGGATACAATGCCAGCCAAAAAGAACACGTAAAATGTTTCGATAGTCATTAGTTTAAGGGATGATAAAACCATGCATCTTGAACTGGGGATATGTGGGATCCAAAGCAAAGAGTGGTGAAGTGAATAAACTGGAGAACCAAGGATCATTATAGACTACACTTGGTATCTTATCCTCGTCAATAATTACTTTGCCCTTTTTATCCTTTGACTTTCTTCGCTTTAAATTATAGCCCTTCAAGTTGGCATATACTCCATTTTCATCTGCAAGTAATAACTCAAGCTGCCTTACTTGCTTCAGCTTCTTGGGCCGTTTCTTGATCCTGTTTTCCTTTCTTGGCACGTTTACCTTCTACTTCCTTATTCTGCTAGCCAAAGGTTCTTCAACAAAAAAAGTCATCAAATTGACATGAATGTTCTTGATCATCATAATCCTCACTTGTCACTTCACTATATGAAAGTAACGAATTCATAATTAGAAAGATAAATATAAAAAGAATAATGAAAACAAACAGAACAAAGTTGAAGACTCCTTTTTAATCAATAACCACTTGTCATGTGGTATTTTTAATTGGGGAAAAATGATACAAGGACAGGGAAAAGAATTGCAGATTAGGTATCAACCATCCAACTAGTTATATAAGATAAAGAATAAACACATTTTAACAGAGCCAAAATACAATATAACCCAAGGAATCCACCTAGGACTTTCTGAGAAAACCTTACAAGTGAATTAGCTATGGCCTTTGATGGAGTGATTGTTCTATTTGAGAACAAGAATCTAGTGTTTCTGGGAACATCCACGGAAAATGGATTAGACCCACCCCCATTTGCCACAAGAACCTGTCAATTGAACATAATTTACATAATATGCATTATGTGATAAATAAAAAGTTATCCAGGCCTTCTAACAATGGTGTTGGATGCTTAAACTATCCCAAGAATAGGGGAAAGAAGAAGGCCATGATATATAGCCTGCTATGCCTAATCATAGAAGTGCATGACTTCTGATCAAAGAGTGAAAATAAAAAAGAGATAATATCAAATTGTAGAAGTCCACTATTTTAGAATGTTTCAATGCCACAGAATAATTATTGCTTCCTGTAATTGTCAGAATTAAGGAAAAACTACCACTTACTAATTTTTTGTTTCTTAGTTGCCATGGGTAACCAAGCTGCAGAAAAGGGATCCTTCTGGGTTTTCTACTATGGTTATAATGAAAGCAAAACCAATCATTTAAACTACCCTATATATATGGCATACAGAAAAGCCCTAAAAAATAATACAAGTAATGCCATGATTTAGTAAAGAAGATAAGCATATCCTTCTAACATAAGAACATATTTGAGTACTTCTAAGTAGTGACACCAGTGAGAAGCATCATATCCATGTAAAACATGAGAATAATACAAACAATTTCACCTCTATTCAGATGTGGAAAATAATTTGATCAACACAACACCTGCCACTTGGAGTTTAAAGTATCTTTGTATGGCATGCACCTACCTCAAACATAGTTTAAAGTATCTTTGTATGGCATGCACCTACCTCAAACATATTCAAGTATCTGTTGAAAAAAGTTGACAAGAATGTTTCCCAATCAATATTGTTGTAGTTCTTTATAACACGAACTGTAACAGAGGCCCATTGGCTGTTCCAAAACTGGGAAGTTGGTATAGAATCACAGTGGTCTAGGCATGATCTAATCCAATCACTGTTCAAGAATTCAAAATAAAATTAATTGGTTTAAGCATGCAAGGCAAGGAGAAATACCATTTGAAAAACACTAGTATCTTACTCAGATAAGAAGTCTTCATTGTCCATGTTTGTTGGTATGAATAATCATACAAAACCAGAACCTTCAAAAACCAAATTATGCCATGGATTTGCAAATTAGATCCATCAATGAACTGAATGAAGTGAAGCAAAAATCATTACAGTATTTAGTGACCTATTGCATTTGAGATATGCATATCATAATGCAGAACAGTCACTAGATAATATTACAGGTGAATAAATTAAGAGGAAAACATGGGATAAATTTTAAAAGAAGAAGAAGAAACAAGCATCTTAAATTTCTTGGGAGAAAAATATGCATAAAAAAATGAGAAACTATGTGCTAGTAAGGCAGGATAACTGCTTGCATAATATATATTAGAGGCATATGATTATACGAGCTGGGAACTTAGTCTTCCGAAAAATGTTATAAAGAATGGCATTACACCTCATATTTGTCTATTTTCTCCTGATAATATTTGGAAAATAGCATATTCTTAAGATATATTACAATACAGTCACTAGATAATGAAATATACAATACAATAGTTTTACCTTCTCACACTTAACATATTGTTTATCTCTAATCTAACATTCTTTCTAGCTGCTCACACTTGAAGTTGGTCCTATGGATTCTATATGGAGACACTATGGTTTTTCTGTCAGAACGTCAAACATCTATGGAGATTGGTTTTGTCTTTAATTTGAGATTTTTGTTATGGTTTCTTTTTTCTTTCGGGGTTCAACACCATACCATTGCCGAAATGAAAAACATTCATTCATTCTTCTGTGATTTTAATTTTAGACTGACTACTTTGAAAAGAAATTTGTTAGAGTAAAGGGCCGAGAACAGAAAAGTGAGGAGAGAAACAGAGAATCTGGAATTTCAAAATTCAAAAAGAGGAAGAGAACAGAAAAACAAGGGACCATAAGGTTCTCTCCTGCAAGAAACTATCTTTCCCAGCTCCTAGAGCTATTATTTTCAAACTAATTGGATGTCTTCCCTCCTAGGAGAAGGTCTCTATTTATACTTTATAACAAGGTCTAAATGTAATAATTAAGCAACAATCATGCTAATCAGTAACTCCAGACTTTCCTTGTAAGATGCCTTGATTGCAACTATTACATAATTGAGGTTGATTGATTAATTGTTAACACTCTTGTTATGATTTTCCTTCTTACGTGTGTACACTATCCACTGATTATGATTATAAATCTGCGCTAGCTGCTTGATATATATATATATATATATATATATATATATATATATATATATATATATATATATATATATTACATCTAATTGATTTATATATATGTTTTAATGATTTAATTATGTGCTTGCTGAATGTTTGCAGGTACGATGTTGTGTTTCTAGAGTCATTTGAAGCTATGGATATACTACTGAATTGGTAAGTAAGAAACAGCTAGAATACTAGCTAGCTATTAGCAATTCTTTTAAAGGATAGGATCCATCTCTTGTATGTATGTTTCTGTATATGTTCATCGTGCATGCATTTCACATTAAGCATGACATACTGTTTGAGTGTGTGTTTTAATTTGTGGTTACATACAGGCTTAGCAATGGATCTTTGAAACGTTTGCCGCCTATTATATGGACTGTTCGTAATGGTGAACTTGCTTCCCTATTGAAACAAATGAACTCAACTGGCCTTGTTTTTTGAGAAAAAAATTTCAGTCGTGCCAATGCTGTTGTGTTTCCAAACTACAATCTGGCGATACGTATGAAACTATTCTATGGAATAATACCAAATTAAGATTCAAATAGATAATTTAACTAAAAAGTAATTTTTGTGTTGAAATTTATTACCTGATCGAATGATAATTTCTACGTGTTGCCTATTCAATTCCTTTCAGGTTGCATACTCAACAGTTGATAATGGAAACTACTTTATGATTCCAGAGTTTCCTACTGAAGTAGGGGAACATAATCACTCTCTGGATAACATAATAATATATGGTAAGATAAGGTGTAGCCCAGAAAATTTCATCATTACAATTGTGGGAAGCGACGAAGAGCAGTACAAAGAACAAGCAATTGTATTGCTGGCTCTACTACTCACTTTCAAAGCATTACATCCTCTTCTAAAAATAGTTGTATTAGCTGGATCTTCCAGTAGCAACTATTCTCGGAATCGGGAGGTAAACAACCGGCCTTAACTTTAATTTTTCCTTGCGTTCTATCTATTTGTCTTTCTGTCTTATTCAATTCTCATTTTTATCAGACCATTGCGATCCACGTAGATTACCCAAGTGGAGTGGTGATGCATGTTGATTCAAATGGAGATGACGAGAATATTTTGAGAGTGAGTAATGTTGTCATATATGGATAACTGACTCACTTGAACTCACAGCAACCAGCTTCAAGTGACTTCAAGTGCTATCAAGTGATTGCTTGATAACACTTGAACTCACTTGAAGCTGGTTGCTATGAGTTCAAGTGAGTCAGTTATCCATATATGACAACATTACTCACTCTCAAAATATTTTCGTCATCCCCATTTGAACCAACATACATCACCACTCCACTTGGGTAATCCATGTGGATCACAATGGTCTAATAAAAATGAAAATTGAATAAGACAGAAAGACAAATAGATAGAACCAAAGGAAAAATTAAAGTTAAAGCCGGTTGTTTACTCCTAGATTCCGAGAATAGTTGCTATTAGAAGGTCTAGCTAATACAACTATTTTTAGAAGAGGATGTAATGCTTTGAAAGTGAGTAGTAGAGCTAGAAATACAATTGCTTGTTCTTTGTACTGTTCTTCGTCGATTCCCACAATTGTAATGATGAAATTTTATGGGCTACACATTATCTTATCGTAGAGTGTGATTATGTTCCCCTAGTTCAGTAGGAAACTTTGGAATCACAAAGTAGTTTCCACTATCAACTGTTAAGTATGCAACCTTAAATGAATTGAATAGCTAACACGTAGAAATTATCATTCGATCAGATAATGAATTTACACAAAAATTACTTTTCAATTAAATTATCTATTCGAATATTAATTTTGTATTATTCCATAAAATAGTATCATACGTACCACCAGATTGTAGTTTGGAAACACAACAGCATTGGTATGACTGAAATTTTTTTCCCCAAAAACTAGGCCAGTTGAGTTCATTTGTTTCAATAGGGAAGCAAGTTCACCATCACGAACCGTCCATATAACATGCGGCAAACGTTTCAAAGATCCATTACTAAGCTTGTATGTAACCACAAATTAAAACACACACGACAGGCTCAATGTGAAATGCATGCACAATGAACATGTACAGAAACATACATACATGAGATGGATCATATCCTTTAAAAGAATTGCTAATAGTTAGCTATTATTCTAACTGTTTCTTACTTACCAATTCAATAGTATATCCATAGCTTCAAATGGCTCTAAAGAAACACAGCATTGTACTTGCAAACATTCAGCAAACATATAATTAAATCATTAAAATGTATATATATATCAATTAGATGTAATATATATATATAAAAATCATAAGCTAGCGCAAATTTTGATAAAAATCATAATCAGTGGATAGTGTACACACGTAAGAAGAAGGAAAATCATAATAAGAGTGGTAACAATTAATCATCAACTTAAATCATGCAACAGTTGCAATCAAGGCATAGTCTGGAATTATTGATTAGCATGATTATTGCTTAATTATTACATTTAGACCTTGTAAGTATAAATGGAGACCTCCTTCTAGGAGGGAAAGCATCCAATTATAGTTTGAAAATAATAGCTCGAGGAGCTGCACAAGATAGTTTCTTGCAGGAGGGAACCTTATGGTCCCTTGTTTTTCTGTTTTCTTCCTCTTTTTGAATTCTCTTTTTCTCTCCTTACCTTTCTGTTCTCGGCCCTTTACTCAAACAAATTTTCTCTTCAAGTAGTCAGTCTAAAATTAAAATCACAGAAAAATGAATGAATGTTTTTCATTTCTGCAATGGTATGGTGTTGAACCGCGAAAGACAAAAAGAAACCATAAAAAAAACCTCAAATTAAAGACATACTTTAGCCAATCTCCATAGATATTTGACGTTCTGACAGAGAAACCATAGTGTCTCCGTATAGAATCCATAGGACCATCTTCAAGTATGAGCACCTAGAAAGAATATTAGATTAGAGATAAATAATATGTTAAGTGTGAGAAGGTAAAAACTAATGTACTGTAAATTTCATTATCTGTAGATAATCTAGTGAGTATATTGTAATATATCTTAAAATATGCTATTTTCCAAATATCATCAGAAAATAGACAAATATGAGGTATAATGACATTCTTTATAACATTATCCAGAAGACTAAGTTCTCAGCTCGTATAATCATATGCCTCTAACATATATTATGCAAGCAATTATCTTGCCTTACTAGCATATAGTTTCTCATTTTTTATACATATTTTTCTCCCAATAAATCTAAGATGCTTGTTTCTTCTTCTTCTTTTAGAAATTATTCCATGTTTTCCTCTTAATTTATTCACATGTAATATTATTTAGTGACTTTTTACCTCTTAATTTATTCACCTCTAATATTATCTAGTGACTATTCTGCATTATGATATGCATATCTTATTCTGCATTATGATATGCATATCTTAAATGCAATTGGTCACTAATTAATACTGTAATGATTTTGCTTCACTGCATTTAGTTCATTGATGGATCTAATTTGCAGATCCCTATTAGAAAATCCATGGCATAACTTGGTTTTTGAAGGTTTTAGTTTTGTATGACATGAAGACTTCTTCTCTGAGTAAGATACTAGTGTTTTTCAAATGATATTTCTCTTTGCCCTGCAAGGTCATCTGGTTTCACAATTGAGATCTCAGTAAAGACTTTCCGAGTCACCTATTTCACAATTGAGATCTCAGTAAAAGACTTTCCAAGTCACGTACAGGTGGCTCGTATTCTAGAGCCTCCGAAAGTGTTTAGCTTTCCGAGGCACCCGTATAAAGTGCTGCGGAAAGCTAAATAAAGATTTTTTATTTTTTTTAATAGATACTTTCTGAGACACCTGCTGCGTCCCAAGTGCCTCGAAAAGTCTTTTATTTTATTTTTATTAATTTTTTTCCATGACACCCACCTATCAGTGGGTGTCTCGGAAATCCCCTTTTAAAAAAAAAAAATAAATTATATATTAGCAGCTTTCACAACCACAACAAAAATTATATAATTTTTCACACACACATACATATAAAGCAAATTTTATAAAACTAAATTCACATAAAAACCTCCAAAACTAATATTCCTTCTCAATAATCCTTAAAGCTAAAACAGTAGATAATAGTGCATACTCATTCAACGGAAAGATTACATAACCTCTCAAAAATGCCTAAGTATCCCATCCTAATGACAAAAGTAGGAAAAGCATTCCTGAACTTTTGTTGAGATTGTCTGGCTGAGGCATCCTTCGTCGCTTGTTGTGACCATCCAAACGTTTTCTGGAGCACCATTTTCCCTCATCAAATTCTGTCAAAGAATGAAACCTGCTATAAATTATATTAATTAATATTAACAAACTAAATTCTGTCAAAGAATGAAACCTGCAATAAATTATATTAATTAATACTAACGAACTGTAGTATTCAAGGGCATAGATTAGATTATCAACAAAGAAAAAGCAAAACATGTAACAATCTCTTCATCCTCTATAGTAATCACCTTGAAGATACTCAAATGACTTGGTTACCTTCTGCCGATAATCAAACACAATATCCAATCACAAACACACCAAATCGGGCAAACAATATCAGGAAAAGTTATCAAATTCCAGGGATTCAGGGAAACACTTGATGCGATAGTTCAAATTAAAGGAAAATACTAGCAATTGTAAGAGACTAAAACGACTAAATGGAAATAGCTAGGAGGCTAATATTGCATTTTCCCCCAAACAAAATAAGTGTCTACAAACTTACTTGCCAATGTCATTGATCTCTAGCAGCTCAGCTTTATTTCTAGGTACCCACTTGCTCATGTGTTGCAATGTAGCATTCCTATAGATACCAGAGAAAGTTGTTTTATCAGCACATTCCAGACTCAATATGAAAACACAAACAAGAGTTGAGAGGAAAGGGCAATAGGAAATATCTGTTTTCTATGTATTTCCTAATTTTTTGCATACATATACAAAATCAGATCACACATAGCAAATGAGTGGACTATGCCAAACAGTGTGCAGCAACAGATTTGAAATGCACATATACCATGCATGAAGACACACAAAAGACCCATAGTAGCAGCAAATCCCTAAGTAAAACACATGTAAAGTCAAAAGAAAAAAAAAAAAAAAAAAAAAAAAAAAATCAAGTAACATATAACATATCCTGTTGTCACATCATATTAAATAATAATAAAAATGTATGCAACATGCTTCAATGTTTCTCAAAGAATTTGCAAAGAATTCCCTATATCATGGCTCAAAGATAGGCAGAACCTAAAACACCAAGTGGTTAAGTGAACCATTTACACTTTGATTGGTTTATAGCTTAAATAAGCTGTACCAGACATCCATTAGTTAATGTAATGAGCTAAGCACAATTTATAACTTAAGAAGGATCATAAGTTAGTGTATTGTGTCTAGAGTTTATAGCTTAACAACTAACTCATAAGCAACTAATCATGCACATCAAACACAAACAAACAAAAATATTGAACTTCACAGGAATTCCACACAATTAGATTCTGTTACTTCAATTCAATAATCTTCAACTAAATGCTAAGATACTCCAAGTCTACAGAACCATATACTGTCAGTTCTGAAGCAATCAAATCCATAGTTTTAATGGTTGAACAACCCAAACTCTTTTCACAGAATATTGAACTTCATATTATGTATCTCATTAAAATACGACCAATTGGCTCATCCATCGCTGCAACTCTGCAAGAACACTGAACTGATTTTGCAAGACTTGAGATCTATAAAAACATGGAGTGAAAACCACAAGGAACAAGGATTACTATCTCCATTCAAGAGGAAGTTTCTAAGAATTCAAACCACAATTCGATTTCTTTATGGAGACACTAAAAGGCTTCAAAGTGATGCCTTTAATGCCCGTTAGAAAAGCAACGAATTGAAGCAGGAGAATTCATTAATTAATAATCAAACGAAACGAAGGAGTGAAAATATATGATATAAACCTCTTACCGTCAATGTCGTCGTTACTCTTGCCGGTCTCCGTCTTCTTGTCGTCAATGTTTACTCTTACCGGTCTCCGTCTCCATTTCCTCGTCAATCGTATATTTTGAGCGAAAAGAAAGCGAAGCTGCCCAGATCTGAGCCGTAACCGGAAGAAAGAGCATTTAGAGCGAATATGTCCAGATCTGAGCCGTCTAGTTTGATTTTAGAGATTAGGAGAAGAAATAAATAACAAAAAATTTGAAGGGTTACTAGTGGTGGTGGAGGCTAGCAGTGGCGGTCGTGGGAAGGTCGAGACGGAATGGAGGCGTCTAGAGCAGGTCGCGGCAGTCCGCAGCGTCGGGCGAGAGATGGAGGAGATTGACGAATGGAACCTCACGATCTGATGGAGGAGTTCGCGATGGAAGAGAGCTGTGAGAGAAGGCTGAGATCTGATATGTGTCAAACTGTCAATGGGAGAGGAAATTAAATAGTCTTACCAGATATTATATTATTACAATAATAATAATATTGGAAAATCCATGTTTTCTAGGAAATGTTCTTCATTTACACCATGAATTTAGTGTTGTTTCAAGATAATATATAACGGTCATTTATGTTGAGTATTAGACAGAGAAATGATGTTATACCATTAGGGAGTGGATGCTGAGGTGCATTGGATGGAAAGGGAAATTTGTTCAAAAATACATGGTAAAAATGCCGAGGTGTTAGAATATAAGAGTGATTAGGAAATAAAATGTGGGAGGGGAGAGAAAAAGAAAAAAGAAAAAAAATAACAAAAATTGAAATTGAAAAAAAATAATAATAAAAACTGTAGTGTCAGGCGCGCTGTTAGCACAGTGCACGCGCCCATGTAGCCTTTGCGCACAGCCAGTGTTAACTTTTTTTTTTTCTTTTTTCTTTTTTTCTGACATTATCTTCATATATTTGCAGGACAAATCTTTTCCAAAATAACTCCACCCCATATTTGTTATTAACCCCACCCAAGATAATTCATTTGACAATAACTCTATAATAACCACTATAGTGGATGCTCTTAGCGTGCTGAGAAATTTATTCAAAAAAAAACATGGTCTACAACATTAAAGATGACCAAAAAAAACTTTCAATGCGATAAGATTTTATAAATGAAACTTAAAAGTTGCTTTTAATTATGTATTCCTACAACTAATCCTACAAAATTAGTATGAATACACATTAAAGAATGATTTACCACAAAGAAAAATACAACAATAGTTCTATGTGTGAGAAAAACATATGAACAAAGAGGTTGAAATACAATTCTACTATTTGATGTGATACCAGTCTGAAAAGCTATCATACATGATATATAGATGCATAAAAGATTTTTGCAGGCAATTTTACATACAGTATATATGTCAAAGTCATGGTTGTATTTCAAAAATCCTAAGCATGAGCTCGAAAAAAAGAAAAAAAAATCTTCTGTATATGTAGACCTGTTCATGTCTAGTTCTTGGTTCTAGATCCTAAAGATCTGGTCATGCATGTTCCAGATCGCAGTTTACGGCTCTGAAATCTACATAGAACATTAACATATAATTCAAATAAAGCGAGTTAATTAGTCTCAAATTTCATATTAGAAATGTAATCAATTCAAATACACTATATTTATACAATAAATATACCAGAGATGTAAGCAATTGCTAGCACAGTCCATACATCAAAAACCCAGAGATTCTTTGTTGATATTTACCCATATTCTGTAAAACTAAACAATAAGCACAAATTAATGCTAAATAATATATGTATTCGTAGTATATCTGGATCATGTATCTGAAAAACAATAAAAATTAGTACAGAGGTCGAACTAGGTCAGTACTTCAGCACAGAGATCAAACAAGGGTTAAGGTGATTCTTACCAAAATCCGTCAAAATTTCATCATCTAGCCAATTTTCAGGTTCAAAAAACACCAAACTGTTTTTTTTTCTTCAAAAACCTAAACACTCGTAGTAGAACGACCTGTACAGAATCTCCACTCTTGAGTTGAAGACAAACTCCGATCTCGCTTGATTTACATTTCCAGCGAACTCATACCCTGAAAAACAAAAAAAAATTAAGACATGTAGTAACCTAGCGATCGAACTGGCAGATTCAACAGATACATTCAAAAATCAAGGATTTCAGAAAGAATCAACGCATTTAACACTAAAATATGTGTAGATAAAGCGATCGGACAGACAAATTTTTAGAGAGAAGGAGCATATGCTTCGTAGATGAGAGTAGAGAGAGAGAGACAGAAATGGTGACTTTGTCTCGCATGCTTATCGCCTGACTATAATTTACCATTATTATTATTATTATTATTATTATTATAAATAAATAAATTATAAATTAGATTAGATTAGATTATTATAATGAAATATTCTAAATAATAATAATAATAATATTATTATTATTATTATTATATTATTATTATTATTATTATTATTATTATTTCAATTATTTCAATATTTCATTATTTTCAATATTTCATTATTTTTAATATTAGTATTTGTGTCGTATTTATATTTTAATGAAAATTTTATAATACTTTAAAATAATAATAATAATAATAATAATAATAATAATAATAATAATAATAATAATAATAATAGTTAGGTAACTATATATTACATACTATGTAAAGGTATATAAAAATCGTTTGTGTGTTATATAGGGTGCTATGTTAGATATACTTAAATGATATAGCATTTATTATATGATTTTGTAATCAAATTTGGAATATAGTTGGTGTTCACGTTTTTTGTTACTTTAGAGAGTAATGTTTATTTTGATTTTTTTTTTCTTTTGCAGAAAATCAAGGCATAACATGTAGTGAGTTTATTCTATTTTATTTTTTAGTTTTATATTTTTTAAAAATTTCAATTTAATATCTAAATCTAATAATTTTGCTTATAAAGCTTAGGAAAAATTACGAAAAGAGGTGCAGAGATTGCGATCGTTCTCTCCAATAGGGAAGGGTGTAATTTCAACTTGCAATATGAACATGCTTTGTATTGTAAATGTGGGCTAAAATCTCCGTTATGCGTAGCTCGTGATAGTGGACGAAAATTCTTTGGTTGTCAACAGTTGAAGGTTAGATTACAATTATAAAGTCAATATAAAAATTATTTGGTTATGTGATTAATTTATATGAATCGTTTCATCTCACACGAAAATGGTTGTTGATTTTTGGTATTTAATTTGTTGATTATACTCTAATGAATGCTCAAGTTCAAGAAATCTCGGTCATTGATTATGAGGCAACACTAAATGCATTAAGAGATTTGAGTTGTATTGCTCAACAACTAAGAGATGATATGTCATTTGTCCAAAGAGAATGGGAGAGAGTTACGATGTCAACGAGTGATGGTACTCGAGTTGAAAAAGAAAGTTGGTCCAAGATGTTTACTGTTGTTGTTGTTGTGATAGGTGTGGTTTTATTAGCCATGTTGCTATGCTTTGATACAGAAAAGGGTAATAATCTTAATTTGCCTATTTTGTAATGTTGTATTAAAAAAATTTAATGTTGTAATGGGAAAGATTTGATGTTTGATTTTTTTTATTATTTAAATCATATTCAAAAAGTACTAAGATAACACTAATATTGTATATCATAAAGTTTTTAATCATTAGCAATGTTCTAACACTTCATTTTTATTAATAACATAAGCTGTATTTGAGTATTTATTGTGTAGCATTTTCATGTTTATTATTTTTGTTCAATTGGCAATTTAAATATAATTTTATAATTATTATATTTCTCCTGTTTGAAATTAATAAATTAAATTATAATTATAGCACACAATTGGACAATAAATTTAACAATTTTTTTTTGTTCAATTCTCAAATACAAATAATTTATACTTTTTCTTTTCGGTTCTCTAAAAATTACAGAATATTAAATTAAAATGTCATTATTTCACACAAATTATAATATAACAAGCATAAATTAAAGACTTTACAACTTATTTACCGTGCAACGCATGGGTAAGTTACTAGTTATTATTATAATAATTTAATATCCGCAGCATCATTTCCCGTGGGTGCGTCGGATTCCGGTATTATTATTAAAATAATATAATATCCGCGACATCGATTTCTTGTGGGCGCCGCGGATTCCCATATTATTATTATAATAATAATATAATTTTCAAGATACCCTTTCTTAATTGGCGCCTTGAAAAGTTCCTCATTTTTCTTTCGACAACACCTTCACCATAAAGGTGTCGTGAAAAGTGGAACTTGTATTCCAAATTTTGTACTAGTGCCTGTCAGAAGTGTAATTCATTCTTGGTTCTGATCTTAATTTATATTAATTGTTAGAAGAGTTTCAATCAACTCATGGGCTACATACTTAACTATTATTTCAGATACTTTCCAAACATGTGAGAAATCCTACATCTTCATTTATATTTTTCTTCTCATTTATTTTGCTTGTGCATAATATCTTGCATTCTGCCCAATTCATAATCAGAAATGATATTCAAGTTTCACTTAACAAGAAATCCAATGATGCATTCATGCATATAAGTTGTCCAAAAGCCTCATGTCTTCACCCGCATCTCCAATTCCCATGTGTCAATGGCCCAAAAACACATGCATGCATATACGTGGCATATATATATATATATATATATATATATATATATATATATATATATATATATATATATATATTAAAGTTGAGATTAAGATTACCTGTAGTTTGCTCTCCTCTCAAAAGAATGAATATAAGGCTAGTTTCATTTTAGCAACACTAAATATCATGTTAATTCTATCATAGTTTAATTTGACAACCATTGTTCACATAGCATTATGGATCATGGTCCACCGTATAACAACTGCAATTCGGCATACTTCCAATCAACATACTTCTAGTAAAGAATCAGAGAAATTTTCATATCCAGAAATTGTACACATCCTCGTTTGATACATACTTCATTGTAACGGATCCTCCTTGAATTTAACATTACTCCAAAAATTAATTTCATTAATATTATTCAGTCGACTATGTTGGTCTTATACAGTTGTCCATGCAGTCACAGACTACGTACGTGTTGTTAAGACTTAAGAAGCTGATTAATTATATTAATTGATTTTCAATAAAAAAAAATAGAAAATAAGGAAAATAAATGAATGAGGCATTAGTATTGGAACGTCAAATGTGAGATTATTCTTCCGCAACATTAACTTGCAGCCTTGTGAGACACCTCCGGAAGCTGGTGGCTATGGTGTTTTGAAGAAGGAGGTGATGGGCGAAAAGTGGTCATTTTTCCAGCCGCAAAGTTCTGCTCACTCACCGTGCTTGCCCCGTTGTGGCCGGGGTTGGTTGAGGGAGAGGTTACCGGCCGCCATTGCAGAGAAGGAAGCAAAAGATGAGTTGATGACTCTTCTTTGGGAGCTGCAAAGTTCTTTGCTCCGGCAAGAGCCGCATTGGTGCCGGGGTTAGACTTTGGAGGGGTCACCCGTCTCCACAGAGATGGTAACAAAACATGTTTCTCCGTCGCCGCGGCTGCAAAGTTCTTGTCACCCAGATCAGCCGCGTTGGATTTGGGAGGGGTTACCGGTTTCCATTGAAGAGATGGTAGAAAAAGATGATTCTTTTCTTCATTGTTGTCTGCAGGAACTGATCTGCATGCTTCATAAGGTTTGATGCATAGTAGAACAATAAGTACTAAAACAAGACTAGGCTGATAATGTCTCATTGGGTCGAATGTGTGTTTAGTTCTTAATGTTAACAGATAGATGAGAGGTAAGTGATATGAATTGAAGTCTGAACAGATGAAAGAATTTGATGATGGGAAAGAAAATGTGAAGAGGCATATTTATAAACTTGAAAGTATGTTATGTACATGGGATGAGATGATGACTTTGATGGAAGAGTAGAAAAGGTTGACCGTGAATTGTACTTTGAACTTGAATGGGTCAGGCCGGTCAGCTACTCGTTAAGGAACAAATTCTGCCGTAAAAATGAAGACGATATGTATACTTTCCAACAAGTCTATATCTATCTACTATATATATATATATACTAATAAGAGCCCAAGAGAGTTAGGCCTATAATGGGTAAAAAAAATGGCGGTCACAGATTTTAATCAAATGAATGGCTCAGATTGATTAAAAGATTGATAAGATTTAAATTTTACACTAAAATTTCCTAAAATACCCACACACCGTTACTAATTCCGTTAAAATTTTAAGAATTGCCGTTAGTTCACCGTTAACTTACTCATTGATTTCAATAAATAAAAAAAGGTCTTAGGTTCGAACCTCATCCCAATCAAAGTTGGCATAATTAGTACTCTATTTTACTCTTATTAAATTATATAAATAATAATTTAGTAGCTACAACAAAAAATTATAGATACGCATTTCTTTAATTTAGAATTATGTGTCCATAATGCCTTTATTCAAAAAAAAAATTATTCATTATCAATAAATTAAATAAGAGAAATAATTGTATTAGTTATATTGTCTTTATTTTTCTACAATATAAAAATTCTTTATATTCAAATTTATTAATTGATTATATTCGCTACATTGTCCTTACAATGTCTTAATTCAGTAAAAAAAAATTATTCATTATCAATAAATTAATTAAGAGAAATATTTTCATTAGTTATATTGTCTTTATTTTTCTCAAATGTAAAAATTTTTACATTCAAATTCATCAATTAATTATATTCACTACATTGTCTATTATCTTTTTTTGTGCACTATTTTTCTAATTAAATATCAAAGTTATAATACAAAATAATGCTATATATTTATTTACCAAGTATTTTATTAATACCATGAAAAAAATAAAAAAAAATATAATTAATAAAGCCAACCATATTAACTACTTGAGAGATTTTGTGACAAAGAGAGTATTCAAATCACACAACAAATTGAAGTGAGAACTACCTTGCAATGTCCTTGTTTGACAATCAGCAGTTAGCGGATTTGACCAACGAATTTATTTAATTATTAACATTGGGTAGAAAAAATGACCGCCAAATTATTAAATCAAATGAATGATTCAAATTGTTCAGGTTTTAATTTTTTTAAAAGTTTTTCTAATTTATCCTTAATTATATGATTATCCATTTAACTTTTCCGTTAAATACCGTTAATTCACCGTTAGTCTAATTCTAATATTAACGTCTAATATAGAATTATAATTACACCATTAATCTAATTCTAATATTAAAGTCTTAATAGAACTTAACCACAAATCCTAATGTCGAAATCTCCTCAAAAAATATTAGTATATATTTAATATTTTATGCCCTAATTT